TATATATATATATATATCGAAATGAGAAATACATTTAAGAATGCGTTCTATTTTACATCTAATGTACATGATATATTATCTTTTTTTGACAACAATTTCCGTTAACAACAATTAATGATAAAATGATACATCATGAACATCATATACACGGAACACGCTTTAAGAAAATATGATCACCTACTCTTTTCTATGAGTTGCTTCTTCGAGTGATGATATTGACAACAGAGTTTGTATTGTAGAGCAGGTATTCCAATAAATATAAATGTGACAAAGGTTTCGTGAAGATTCCAGAGGACTCCAACCTCCAAAGACGCATAAGAAAGAAAACTGACCATGAAGAATGAAGACTTCTAATGACGTCACATAGTTACTTTCATACACCTGATGCATCTAGACTATGCATTACATTCCTGTAATAAAATATGAAAGCTTTGCGAGAAATGAATGTAATGCATGATGAAAATAGTTTTAACATTATACAGAGTGTATAAAAAAATCAGGTTATCACTTGCGTATAATATTATGTCATGCCATTATAAATTATTTAACTTATTTACAATTTATATATTTTTTTTTTATTATAATTTATTTATTTATTAAAAATAACATAAATAATAAGAGAGAATTATTAACTATTGTTCTTTAGATATGAGTCATGAAAAATCCAGGTTTAAAGAAATAAAACGGAATATCGAAACATATTTTGCATTATGCATTTATTGTACACATAATTTACTTACTTTTATATTTCCATCTATCTTGTGTATCTATTTTTAATGCAATTTGAACGTTGTTCTAGTTTGTTAATATTCTGATTTATTATTTATTGAAAAATAGATGTTTTATATTCATTATACTCATTTTATTTATGCTCATTGCATTTTTTTGAAAATTATTTTAAAAAATTTTAGTAACTTGAAATAAAAAAAAATATTTTATATAATAAATGATAACAAACAAAATAATAAATATGGAAGAAAAGAGAGAAAGAGAAATCTACGTTTAACTTGATAGCGCGAACTTGAATCACAAGATCGATCTAAGAAATTCGAGTAATTACTGTTATACTGCTACTCACGTAACTTCAAGTGGAAATATTTATCTTTAAAGCTACTAAGTTCAATTTTCAATTATTTATCTTATTAAGTAATATCTGTATTATCTTAGTAAGATAGCATAATTAATTTTTGTTAATCAAAAAGTTTGATTAAGGACTATGAATTATATAACCAGAAATTTTACTTTAAGCAATTCTGCCAGTTAAATTAATCGTTGATTAAATTAATCAAAATTCGATTGAAGCCGCCTTAATACAAATGTTTTCTTTGCATTTAAAATTTGAAACTCATCATGTATAAAAAGCTATAGAATTATATATTTAAAACACAAAGAAAATTAATTTAGTATACTTATAGATTACACGGACAAATTTTAAAAATCTTTAAAACTATACATAAAATATACCTACAATATATGAAAATATCAAAATTTTATTAAATTAATTTTATTAAATTTTATTAAATTAAAAATCTATATTTTACTTTTTTTAATCTCTACATTTTGATTCGTGCAATTTGTTTTGCTTCTTTGATTTTCATCAAGCAAAAATCAAAGTAGTGAAAATTCGACACGATGAAACTGAAAAAAAATCTACATCCGGTCGCGTCGTGACATCCGGTACACACGCAAGGCTCCCGAACGCGTGTTGCCGGTCCTGACTCCTGTGGGATATCCAATCGACCCAGCGTACGGAGCTGACGGAGTGATTCGCCTCTCGGCTCTTGGCGCTGTTCAGACTACAGAGTAGAATAGCGATATCGTCAGTCACAATCAATTCGTGCAGTGGTTTTTGTGGTGGTATGGCGAACGCGAATTCACCGTGCGCAGGTAATGCGGTGTGAACGTCACAAGTGTCGCGGTAAAAATGACCGAGTGACGCGCGACGTGCAGCACGAGGCTACGCCACGGCTATACGCGCACACTGCGGTAACTCCAATTTCTAAGGCTTCTCCAAAGGGTTCTGTGCGTTCATCGCCTTTCCTCCGTTTCTTACATCCGTGTCGTCTTTCTCCCTTCTCGCAGGGATAGTCAATGGTACCATCCACGGACTACCGAGTGAATCTACAAGCGCCGCTACAACGGATCGCGCACTGAGTACCGTTGGTCTCGACAGAGAATAATAAGCTGCGCGATGACTTCCGTTTCAGTGTCCCGAAGAGGCCCTTCCATGATTCGAGAGATGCTCGGCTTGGAATTGTTGGTCAGTCCACTTGCAATAGCCGAGATTGAGAAATGATAAAGATCACGCACGGTACACGCGATTTAATCTCACAGATTGATCTCTCTAACGGCGATTTTGTAGGAAAATTTTTTTACGCTAACATTTTTTTGTGATATGTGAATGTAGCTTTTATAATAAGGATAAAACCTTATTGACACAAGTGTTTTAGTTCTTATTTTAGTGCTTATAATATTATGAATATATATTAGCAAATATGTATTAGCAAAGGATATAATTATTATTTTATAATTAATTATTGCAACGAATATCAAAGCATGTATATAAAAGAATATTTTATTTCTTACATTATAATATTCAATATTCAATATAATATAATATTTCATAATATAACTTTTATGTTAATAGTTATTTTGAATTTTGTGAAAGAATGTCACATTAAGTATTTATCATAAAAAATTGCTAGTATTTGTAATCTCAATTTGTTCAAACTTCTCAATATCTTATTATCTTTTAATAATTTTTTTTTATATTATAATAAATGCTAAAGAACTTACACATATTCTTTTTATAATAATTATATCTATTTAATTTATAATATTTTTATATTTAATAGGATAGCAGCCTGATGAATGGAACCTTGGAATCTAATGCATGAAATATCTGCAAAATTATAACTGTGCCTTCAATGTCCTAATCATTGAACAAAATTATAAATGTGCCTTCAATGTCCTAATCGTTGAACAAAGAAGTATCAAAATGAATAGGACAGACAGTGTGGATGCTAATAAGGCTTGGCATGAATCTGCCAGATGGTTGATCAGATGTGGCGCACTACGAGCAGATCACAAAGCCAATTGGCCACAGGCAACTGCATTCGACTTGGCCTATACATTACGGGATGGTGTTTTGCTGTGCAATCTGTTGAACATTGTAGATGCAGGATGCATAGACATGAAAGACGTGAATCAAAAGCCGCAAATGGCACAATTTCTTTGCTTGCGTAATATAAAAGTATTTTTATCAGCATGCTCGAATGTCTTTGGTCTCTCCGATTCGGAACTCTTCGAGCCGTCGATGTTATTCGACCTTTCTAACTTCCATCGCGTCCTCTGTACACTCTCCGCCTTGTCCAACTGTCCACGACTGAGGCGAAAGGGTATAACGTAAGTAATCTGTCAATATCTGTATTCATTCATATTAAAATTTGATTCATGATTGAAAATTTGATCATCAATTTATCACAATTAAAAAATAAATAGATTAATAATTATAATATGAATAAGAAATAATAAAGAAATATATATTTCTTACAGTGGATTCTCCGTTGGTCATGGAAGATCGCAAGAGGATATTTATAAGGATTTACAAAGTGCCGGAGCAGGGTAAGAATCCATTACTAAATTACATTTTTGTAACTTATTATTTTATATACAAATCATTGAATATTAAATGACAAGAAATGTTATATCTTGACTCTAAAATATTAAGATTTGTCTCTTTGTTAAAATAAAATTTCTCTTTCCATTCACGTTATACAGATATATATGTAT